CCCCCCCGTCCCCCTTTTCAATATACACACAAACACAATACATACACTCAAACAAGCAGCCGTACACTCCAACAAACACGTAAGCAGGCGTTATACCAAACTGCAACATGACATCCTTAAATGTTTCCTCCACCAGGTATCTTGAAGGACAAAAGCGCGTCCACCAAAGACCTTCATGACGTCAGAAGCATTTTGAAAAACGAGCCCTCCAAAGCTCGCTCAGAGCCGGAAGTCCACAGCATCCTCAAGCCGAGCGGGGATTCACCTGAACTTGCCCCAGACACCACATCTGGCAGCAGCGCCAGCAACAACAGCATCAGCGCCAGCACCACCAGCAGCAGCAGTAGCAGCAGCTCCGCCCCCAAAGGTATCTTGAAGAAAACGAAGTCAGAAGACCTTCCCATCTCTGAAAACGCCTCGGGAGACGTGAGAAGTATCCTCAAGCACACGGACAGCGAGGAGGAAGAGTTAACTCAGCTAGGAAAACCGAGGTCGAGGTCCAACTCGCAGCCACACGGCATTTTGAAGCGAGATGGTTCGCCGTTGCCTCCCGCGGGCAGCCTTGAACTCGGGTCGGAGATCAAGAGCATCCTGAAGGCTCCTTCTCAAGAGAATGTCTCGGACGGCTCCACTTTGACGGTGAAGAGCGCCATGAGGCGCAATAGCGTGGATTCGGACTCGTCCACATCAAGCGCAGGGGTGCTCAAGTCGGCGCTCAAGAATCGTAGCAAGAACAACTCGGAGTGCGAGGACTCTGCCACAGCGATAACTACAGCAACATCGGCAACCACTGAAGCTTCTGCTGCCTCTGAGCTCACGCCGCGAAAGGAACGAGATGATGATGATGATGACAACTCCACCACTAGCGGTGTCGTCGTCGAAACCACAACCACGACCACGGAAGTCGTATCCGTGGTCCAGACAGAGAACAACAACAACAACAACAACAACAACAACAACTCGTGCGTGAACGTGAGCAGGCAGACGGTGACCTCCAGCACCACGACGTGCGACCAGCTGGAGACGACCACCCGTGGCGCCACCAGTCACTCTATGGGCGGGGCTGAGGCCTCTGGACAGGATACCCTGAAGGTGCCGGACGCCGGAGACGACAAGTCAGGAGCGAGCGCCTCCGAGGGAGAGAGCAGCAGTGGCGAGATCCTGGACGGCACCCCGCGTAGCACCAGGCTCAAGAGGAGGTCGAGGTTTTCGGATAAGAACAAAGCTAGCGAAAGGTAAGAAGATTTGATTTCTTTGACAATATGTTCGTTTTTTATCTTCCCCCCCCTCTCTCTCTCTCTCTCTCTCTCC